AAAAACGAACTGTATACTAATAAACTTGACTTTATAATCATCCAAAGTGTAAATACATTTTTGGGACACCCTATATCTAAGTGTTCATATGGTCTGTGTGGAATGACTTAAAGCAATTCAACTTGAAGTTGAATTATAAAATGTTTTATAAAATTAAACAGGTCAGATTTATCTATGTTTTCAAAGGCCATGACATTTTGTTTATAGAAAAATAATAATTTTAGTGAAACAAACAGTAGTAGCATTTTATTATGCCCATTCTAGCTCTGATTATAAACATAGCACACTTTAATATCAGAACCTGGCATTGATGAATTATCACTAGGTAGCGCAAAAGATACACACCAGCCAGTCACTTTCTCTCTTAGAACAGCTGTTGGGAGCCACTGTTGACAGAGCTTGACCTCCCTTCCTCCCCAGAGCTGTCTGCAGGTTCCTCCCAGCTGCTCCTGCTCCGGCTGCCCAGGGAGCAATTTTCTGACCGCTGCCCACCACTGAGAGTCTGCACCACTTTCTCTGCTGGAAGCCTTTATGCTTCCCGCTGCTCTGCCTCAGTTTCCCATTAGATTTATTGCTCTCACGTCTAGCTCGTCAGAGGAGTTTAAGTAAACTTTGGTTCAGCATCAATCCAGAATTTTCCCCTTTGACCTTTCTTCAGGAGGGTTTCTAGGTGACTGTTGATATGGAAGACCTCAGTTTTGAACTTGTTTCTTAAAAAAAAAAAAAATGAAATTCTTCATGTCAGCTTCTACCCAAGTTCTAACCTATGTTTTCTAAAGACAGCTTTTCCTGCTTTAAACTTGTCAACACAAAGACACGAGGCAGTTATCTGAGTAGACAGACGGTTTGCATTAGACACTTGAGAGGTGGCTGTTCTGAATGCACTGGACTGAATTAGTTGAATGGGGAGGATATGGGGAGGGTGTTAGCACTAGATGGAGGGGCCAGAGTTATTTTTGGAAATCAAAACCAATGTCTTTGTTGTTCAAAAGGAGAAATTTGGGGAACCCAAGCGACTCCTATTTACTCTGGTAAATTCACTGACAGTCAATCGGATCTCCATGGTTGGGCTTTTTAATGTTGTGAGCTCTCCGCTCCCCGCACAAACTGCGCAGAGTAGAAGGCAAGTAAATGCTGCTGATTCCGCTCAGACGCGGGTCTGAAAAGTGCAAGTCTAGGCTGGACCTGAAGCAATCAGCAGCTCTCAGATGTTACTGCCACGTATGATTTTAGTTTTTTAAAAAATCCTCACCCGAAGTTATATTTCTATTGATTTAAAAGACAGAGGAAGAGAGAGGGAGAGAGAGGGAAACATCAATGTGAGAGAGAAACATTCAGCACGCACCTCAGCTGGGGATGAACCTGCAACCTGGGTATGCGCCCTGACCTGGAATTGAACCCGCGATCCCGGGACCTTTCCGTGTATGGGATGACGCCCCAACCAACCGAACCACACTGGCCAGGGCTGCATTTAGCTTTAAGGTGAGAAATTCTTTAGTCAACCTACATGAAGAAATATATCGCAAAAGAAAAGGAATTTTGTTGTTTCGCCTTATAATTTCTGGCTCTGTTCCATGCTACTAGCACATCTCACAGGAGCCCAGAGCGAAGGGTCCCGCCCTCGCAGCGCCCAGAGCTCCCGGGTCTCCGACCCCAGCTCCCACTCTCTCAGTGGCGTCTGTGGGAGAGAGTGTGGGGCGGGGACAACCACACAATCCTCCGAACCCCGGGACCAGCCGCTGGCACACAGCGGGCCCTGCTGCAGCGTCCAGGGAGCGTCCCCACCTTTCGCATCGCCCCGAGGCGTCCCAGAACGTACCTCACCTCCTGCCAAAGATGACGGGGCTTGTGGCTTCAGCTCCGAGAAACTTCGGGAATGGCGGTGCAGGCGGGAGAGCCCCTGCACTTCGCTCTGTACAGGTCCCGGGGCGGCCTGCGCGGGACGGGCTGGCTTTGCGCCCCGAACTGCCTGCGCACCTGGCGGGAATCTGCTCTCCCTCTGTGCCCGGCGGTCTCCGAGGGGCTCCTTCCTACTGGGGAGGAGCGCGGTCAGCTTGAAGAGGGGAGGCCGTTGGGGGGCTGGAGAAGATCGGCTGGTTGGCGGCTCACGGCCTCTCCTCGGGAGACCGCCCTGCGGTGTGGAGCTCCCCGCCTCGCCAGCTGCCCGAGTGGCTGGCAGAGTTGGAATTCACAGCCGAGCACCTTCCTCTTCCTTCTTCTCTCCAAGGCCCGCCTGGCAAGCTGAGCTCCACTTTTGGCTGCCTCCCTGGGTCTCCCCGGCCTGTCCTGGAAATACCACCTCCCCTCCAGCAGCCCTACCCTGCCTTCTATAACAAATGCTTCAAATACCCCGAGAAATTTCCTCCTCAGTATGAGCCCATTTTGTGGAAGAGGCAGCGGGAGATCTAAGTGCCAAGCGCGGGTGGAGAGGCCGCCTGCGCTCTTCTCCGAGGGGGCGCGGGCCGGCAGCCCAGAGAGCAGCCAGCGCACTTCCAGTGAATCCCTGCGGGAGGCCCGCCGGGGCAGTTGGGGCGATCGCCTGGCCCTAGTCCGCACCTGCGCCCTCCCAGCCCAGGGTGACCGCCACTGCTCCTTGGGCTGAGGAACCTGGATTCCCGGAGGAGAGGCAGCGCCTGGCCAGCAGCGCACTACGCCTTGGTGGGACCGGAAGCCCCCGGAGGACAGCGGGCCTTGAGCCCAGAAACCTTGGCCCACCTCCCCCACCCGGAGGACCAAGCTTGGCTCCTCCACAGAGTGGGGGCGGGAGAGGGGAGGATGTTGAGCCCCCGCTGGCCCTCCCTGCTGCTCAACATCCGCCTCCCTAGTGTAAGAAGAAGACAGTCTCTTACCTGGGAAGGACGCTGTGGAAAACCAGAGCAGGTGATTTCGGAGGAAGTGCGCATAAAGATCACATCAACAGTATAGCTTGGGAATTTGACAAAGGAAAGGCCCCCTGGGATGGCATTAGACCAGGCCAATCTCTGCAGCAGCGCTCCCCTCACTTCCGAAAATAATGAGGATCATAAAACAATAGTGACATCGGAGGGAGAACTACTTTCTGGATACTGAATCAAGCGCTTCACAAGCGCTCGTTGGTGTAACAATCCGCCTCCACTTTACAGATGAGGAAACTGACACTCAGGGAAGTTGGATAAGTGTATGGGGTCAGGGCCAATATCATAAAGTGCGAAGGCACATTTCCTGGACTCCAGAGTTCAGGGGGTCGAGTGAGGGGTGGAGAGGCTGCGGTTTGAGGGCCGGCTCCCTGGGAGGCCTATCCCTGATGATTAAGTTCCCCCTTTCTGATCCACTGATTGATTTTCTCATCCACCAAGAGGTGAATGATTGATTTCTCTCATAAACAATAACAACAAAACAAAAATAAAAGCAAAACCCAACAACTAACACAAATAAGTCCTGTATCTTATACAAGCAGCCATTCATGGGAGCCAGCCATGGGTCCCCCAGGCTGGGAGGGCTCAGTCAGGCCCCTTTCAGGCCACAGCATGGGGGTTGGGGGGACTCGGACGTGAGTGAGAACAGCAGGGGAGCAGGAAGGCCCAGGCCAGTTGTCCTCAGCACCCCACTCTGGCTCTCAGACTCCAGGGGTGAGGACTCATCCCAAGCAGGACTCTTTGAGTGAGCTAAAGAAAAAGGCCTGTCACAATTATGTGATACCATAATCAATAAAGAAAATTTTTAAAAAGAAAGAAAAAGGCCTCTCCCAGACCACCGCTGTGGGAAGAAAGAGGAGACCCAGCCAAAGCTCTGGCCAGTTTCTCTGCTACCCAACCCTCAGGCCTCTGGGCTATCTTCCTGACAAAACCCATCTTGAGCAGTGACACTTAAGTTAAAAATGAAACAAAACAAAACTGAGAATCCACATGTTAACACATGCTCCCAACCCAAACCCAACTGTGGTGTTTCTTAAGTATGGGTTCTTCCCTAGTTAGTTCCAAAAAGATAAGTGCTGCTTTAATTTTTAAAATAAAATGGAATCATTACATCACAATGAAGTTTAGATATAAAGCAAAGGAATCAGTTTTCATCTTTTCCCACATTATCCATATTTATTAAGCATTTTCCACAAACAGCATCTGCTTGCAAGGCCCAGACCCTCAAACCAAAACTGACTTGGAAACCACAGACCTATTAGTTAAAAAAAACAAAACAAAACACAAATCTGTTAGGTAGTTTTACAGTATTAAATAAAAATAACCAGTTTACCAAACTCCTCAACCACATGCGTTTTTATCATTTCTGAAGATGTGGAAATCATACTGGCTCTGTGACTAGGTTCCAAGGAGGGTCAGGCCACCATGCTTGCCTTCCTGCCCTGAGACCAGTAAGTAAATCCACATCTAATTAGAAAGCTCACTTGTGGGTCTATCTTTCTCCCCTAAACTCCTTGCTCTCGGTCTATCAGTCTTTGCTCTCTCTGAAGTATTGGATCAAGGGGGTACACAGGGACCCCCTCTGCCTCTATACCCTACCCTGCTGCTACCCAGCTTCCCTTGCAAGATGTCTTCTTCGGAGGGAAGAGGTGCAGGCTGAGGAAAGGATGTGAGCTGGGGACGTGGCTGTGCTAAGCAGATTAACAAAGAAAGAGGAGGAAGAGGAGGAGGAGGAGAAGGGGCTTGGATTATTAGGGACATCTATTTCCCTGGGTCTTTGAAACCTCCTTTCAATTATTGCTAAAATATTAAGGCAGAAACCTGAATCAAAATGGCTCTGTTTCTGGGCAGATAATACATCCCTTTAGCTGGCCTGCCATGTGTTGGAGGGTGTTCCAATTAGTACAGTTTTTCCTTTTGAAGAGTTGGTTTTTCTAACGAGGTCCTTGCTTATGGAGTGCTGGGACCTGCACAACAGTGGCAGACCGAGGCCTCAGATTTACAGAAACCTGTCCCTTCTCCCCAAGGGCCGCCAGCGTTACCCCACCGGCCCCAACAGGCACAGGCCCTGGGGAGCGCTTCTCCCCGCCCTGGCGGGTGCCCAGCAAACCGCCAGCGCCAGTGGTCCTCACCTGGGGCCCCAGGCCCGCTCCCTCCTCTGTGAGTGGTCCGTGCCACTGACAAGGAAGCTTCTCACCGGTGTTCCTGCGGCCGCAGGGGCGCCACACTGGAGGGCTGCGGCGAGGCACTAAGGCCCGGGGGCAACCGGCCTTCTCGGGCCGCAGCGGGAACCGCAGGCGGCACCGCTCCCCCGGGGGGCGGCGGCGGAGGCAGCGCCAGCAGCTCCTCGCCCGAGGTCACCGCGCAGTCCTGCTCGGGCTCTGTGTCCCCGCCGCTCCCGGCGGCCGTCCCGCAGCCGCGCTTCTTGTCCTCCTCCTTTTTCCACTTCATGCGGCGATTTTGGAACCAGATCTTGATGTGTCTCTCGGTCAAGTTCAGCATGACGGCCAGCTCTACCCTGCGCGGCCTGGAGATGTACTTGTTGAACAGGAACTCCTTCTCCAGCTCCAGCAGCTGCGCGCGCGTGTAGGCCGTGCGCGTCCGCTTGTTCTCCTCGGGTTCCGCCGCGTAGGCGCTGCCTGCGGGACACAGGGCGTGAGAGGGTGCTCCCCCCCCCCCCGCCTTCTGCGGGAGGGGGGTGGTGGTTAAAGGTTAAAGCTCTCACTGACCCTGTGGTGGGCTCTCTCCACAAGTGGTTCTTGACCGGGTTCCCTTAACTTGTGTTTGTATTGATGCAGATTAAAATGTACATAATAGATTCCTAAATCTATTTAATTCTACAAAGGCAATAAAATGACTTTAAACACACAAAAAAAACCAAAAACCCAAAACACTTTCTGCCAATGACCCACAAGAAAAATACATTTCAGACTACTACTCAGTTTATTACAGATATATAACTGAAACAAACATTTTCAGGACATAAAACCAACTTGCACCACATGCGATGCTATCTAATTTTTCCCTATTAATTACTATTTCGTTTTTTCAAAGAAAGTTCTCAACCCAGTAAATTGATTTCATCACCCACTAACAGGTGCAACCCTCAGTTTGAAAATCCTTTAGCTAATAAAAATCTGAAAAACCTTGAGTTAATACAGCAATATACATATATCCATATATTGTTATTCTGACCATAATATTAGTTCTCTCTATAGTTATAGAGAGGGCCATTGAATTTCCTGTAATTGTCCTCATTTTAACTTTGGCTGGGCCCCGTCCTGAAAAAGAAGGCAAACTATTCTGGGCCCCTAAGGTTGCTATCAGCCTCCGCCCAGGTCTGGATCTCAAATCCTGGTTGAGGGGAGGCTCAGAGGCCTGAACTGAATCCCGCTTGGGACTGGAGAGGATGGGATGGCGTCAAGGGCTCCCCGTACTAAGCAGGGAGAGAAGCAACAGCCCGGCCTGACCCTGTAGCTCACAACCGGTGTTTGTCGCTGCACTCCTCAGTCCTGTGCTTTTCCTTTCTGTTTGAGATGCTGCCTGCACATGGGGTAAGCTTCACCAAAACGCTGGGAAAGGCCCGAGACTGTCGGTGTTGGGGCAGAGGTATGAAAGGCTCTCCTGTGGCTGTGGGCTAGGCCTTAGGGAGTTGAAAACCTGGTGTGCACGTCTGTGGAGGAGGGTTAATGACACAATGGAACCTGCTGGGTTTCCCCCGGGCTAAATGTTGGCTCCCAGCAGCCAGGGCGGAGGCTTGGTCTGAGTCTGGGAAGGACGCTTGCTTGCTTCAGGGCATCTCTGGGTCTTGCACTCCCAAGCCTCCCTTGGGGAGGTGGAGGAACATTTCAGGCATTTGAAAAGGCCCTCCGAGGTTCTTAAATTCAGCCACAACCTCTGCAGGGCCCTCTTCTGTGAGAGGTGCTGTGAAGGCTGCGCTGGGGCCCTACCTGAGACAGATGCTTAGGAGAGTTGGCAGGAGATGGAGGTGGAGGTGGAGGCTGTTGGTTCTGCTATTGGGAAGAGGGCAACAGGAGAGCTGGCCAGTGGGGCTGAGACAGTTCACTTTCTAGGTCAAGTTTTTTGGAAGTTCCTGTTGTTAGTATTCACATCTGAATTACGAATAAAAGCCCTTTGGTCATCCTGCCCTCCCAGGGGCTTGGAACCCCACTAGGAGTGGGCAGGCGGGTTCCCTGACCCCAGAAGTTTGGCTCCTTTGAAAATTTCCCCTGGAAGGACCCCCTTCCCAGGCAGCTCCCAGGAAAGGGGTCTGGGCCCCTTCCCAGCAGGCTAAGCCTGCAACGGGCCCGAGGGTGAAGGCAGAGGCCCCTCCAGCCCGGAAGCTCCAGCCTGGGGATGCCACCTTCCCAGGTCCCTCGCTGCCCAACAAGGCTGCTGCTTTTCCTTGGGGTTTTCCTTTCTGGCTTCTTGGTTCCGCTGGAGCCCAAGCTCCACCAGAGCTGGGGAACACTCCTGCGGCAGGAGGGAGGGAACGTGGCCCACCTCAGGTCCTCCCCCGCCTTTTTCCGGAGGAAGCCCTCGGGAGGAGCGGGGAAGGCCAGAAACTCTCGCGTTCCCTGCGCCCTTCGCCCTTCGGGAAGGGGAAGGGAGCCCCGGAGTGAGCACATCTTCCGCAGAGACTACAGACAAAGATCCTCCCCCCTTCCCCCATAGAAGGACGAGGTCTTCTTGCCGCTCCCCTCCCACACCCCGCACCCAAACTCGGGGCCCCTGGCCCAGCCGCTGAGGAAGTGTGTGCAGAAGCAGCGGGGTTTCGCCGGAGGTGGGGAAGGTTGGGGCTCAGTGGGGGCCCTGTCCTGCCTCAGGAACCGGCGGGCCTTACATTCAGCTTTGGAGAAAAGCGAACTAGGAGAGGCGAGCCCCGAGGACCCTGGGCGAGCCCGGACCCCCAAAGCCCAGCTTGGCTGTGCCAGGGTCAGGGTCAGGTAGGGCCGGCCAGACTCCGGGATGGGGCGGGGAGGGGCTCCAGCTGAGTCTCTCCCCCTACTCCCATGAGTTGGGAGGAAAGAAAAGTCAACTACCGTATTTGCCGTGCAGGTGTGACCAGAAGTGGCTGCGACACGATAACATTGTGTGGCGGGGGCGGCACAGGCCGCGCCGGAAATCTCGGCCAGGTTGGGGCGGGGAAGGAACCCGGGCTGCCGGTTCCTGGCCCCCCGCCCCAGGGAGACTGCTACCGCCACGGACGGGGCTCCCTCTGCCCCGACTGGCTGAGCTGAAAGAGCATCTCCTTCCTCAGACTGACCTCCAGGAGCAGCGTGGGGAGACCCCTTCACCGCTTCTGTCTTAGCATCTCGGGCGCCAGCCCAGCTGCCTGGCTCCTGGGTGAGCGGAGTCCTCAGCCTTGAGGTGAGCCCCCGCCCTGCCTCGCCCCCAGCCTGCAGCCTCTGGACACCGCTGCTTCCCTGCATCTTCTGGGGGCCCGAGGCCGCGCCGTCCTGCAGCGAAGCCCACGTTCCCTGGGCCCAAGCGGGCCTGAGACCTGAAGGCGCTCTCCTGCCGCTCACAGGTACCCTAACCCAGCTCGGCTTCCTCCACGCCAACTCCCTGGAGTCCGGGGCGGGTGGGTCCCGGGCTGGAGGGGGGTCCGAGGATCCAAAGCTTTGAGTTCGGCTCTCTGGGAGGGGCGCTGGGAGCACTGGGCTCCCGGAGCTCAACTCACAGACGGGGAAGGGGTTTAAGCTTCCAGGAGGAGAGCTTGGAAGCAGAGACGCTCCAAATTGGACCAGAAAAGCACGTCCACGCGGCGTGGCCTCGCTGCTCCCTGTGTACTTTAGTCCGACCCCGGTTATCCGTAGGGGCCGGGAACCGGAGCTCGGGGAGGTCCTGCGGAGCGATCGGAGGTCGGGCTGCCGGGGGAGAGTGGGCGAAGACAGAGAGCCCGTACCCAAGCTTACCTGCCCACTGGCCTTTCCACGCGTGAGCCTTGGTGGACTTCATCCACGGGAAAGGCAGCTGGACGCGGCCGGGCTCCTCCAGGGCGCCGGGGGCGGCTGCATCCGGGAAAGGCCCGGCGGGCGGGTGCGGGAGCGCGAGCTGGGCGGGGAGGTGGTGGTGGAGGTGCGCCATCGTGGGGTCCTCCGCGAGCGGGGGCACCTCGTACGGGGAGATGTCGGGCGGGCTGCCCTGCTCCAGCGCGCCCAGGGCGCCGGGGAACGGGGGCGGCGGCGGCGGCGGCTGGCGGCCCATGTACAGGCACGCGGGGGGGCTGGCGCTGAACTCGGGCGCCGGGCCCCTCTGGAAGGCGCAGGTGTCCTTGTAAAGGTGCGGGGCCGCGTAGTATGGCTCCTCGCCGTTCATGGCTGCCGCCGGGCTCGGGGACCGGAGCGGGGAGCTGGAGCCGGGGCCTCGGAGCTGCGCAGCGCTCCCGCCGCCGGCGCCACCCCTACTCTTTTTGACAGCTTCGCTCCGCTCCGGAGGGAGCCCGCCGCCCCGAGGGGCCTCGCTGGCCGGCGCCCCGCCATAGGCTCCGCGGGGGCCCACGTGGCTCGGCCCGGGGCTGTTATTGGCCTGTCCGCCGCCTTAAGAAGTGAGGCCCAGGCCCCGCGAGCTCCGCAGTTGTTTCGATTTTCTCTCTCAGCCGCGTTCACTGCACTCGCCTCAGGCGCAGTTGGCAGTGCTCTCCAAAGTGGGGCGCGCGTGAAAAATCTCAGGACTCTCTTCAGTCATAGAAAGGTTCATCAGACGTGAAACGATCTATTTTCCTTGTGTGCTTGATAATGTACAGAATATATTAGTAAATATATTTCTATATGATGGGTTGGTACACTTAAACATGTTAGGGAATATGGTCAAAAAAGCTCGCAGATCCCAGCTCTAGAGGTCAGAAGCAGTTCGTTCTGTGTCACCTACGCATGTTGCACACAGCCGCCAAAGGTCCCAGGAGCTAATACACACGGATCCAGCATTCGCTGTATGTTTTTATCGGTGGCTGCGCGGTGGAACTTCTGAAGAATAAACTAACGTCTGAAGCATTCACGGTGGCTTTTTAATTTAAAAAATAATTAGGCATTGTTAATTTTGACAAATTGGGACTCATTTGGTCAACTCAGAATGGGTTTTAACGTGGCAGGGGGAGAAGCAGCATCCCTCTTGTGGCTGGGAGATGGGAGCAGGGGGTTGGCCTGGAGTTTCCAGACCCTTGAGGGCTCTCCACTGACCCGGATTCAGATGATCTGGAGATGTGAGCAGTGTTTACAAAAGAAATAACTTTGGCTTCCACCGGTTGGGTAGCTTCTGGGCACTCGGGGGTCCTGACGAATAGAGACGCTTTTTTGCGGCCTGAGGGTGCGGACTGACTCTCTCCGCCCTGGGCTCTGTGGCACCCACTCCGCGCCTGTCTGGGCTTGACCAAGGCCTCTGATCATTTTGCCCTGAGGGTGGGTCCTGGGTGGCCTCAGACTGGGTCCTGCAGAAAGGAACACATTCCTGGGGTTTTAGAAAAACTAGACACCTTTGCAGAAAAGCCTAGGCAAGAGGGAGCATGAAGCACAAGGAGCCGCAAAAGAAAAATCACTTCGATGTGACTTTCCTAAAGCACTAACTAATCCAGTCCTTTAACAGGTATATTTTAATATATTTTTCTTGTAAGAAATATTTATGATTTAGTTTTTTAAAAAATTGATTGGAGAGAGAGAGAAAGAGAAGGAGAGAGAGAGAGAGAGAGAGAGAGAGAGAGAGAGAGAGAGAGAGAGAGAGAGAGAGAGAGAGATCTGTTGGCTCCTCGGTGCCCCCAGGGGGATGGAACCACAGCCCCTTTGGTGTACAGGAGGGCGCTCCCATCAACGGAGACATGTTTGTTTTAAATGCACACGGATTGAGTGCGCTAAACAAAAAACAAGGTGGGCTTTGACTTCTCTGCAGAGACCTTTTAGATGCTGGTGTCATCTCAGAACTGTGCTCTGTATCGAGGGGTCCGCGAAAGTCTGGGAATTCGCGTAGCTACCAGGATGGTGGGTGGGATTTCTTTAGGGAAAAGGACCACCTGCGGGGGGGGGGCAGGGACTGCAAGGCTGTGGGGCCTGCGCACCTAACCTCTGCAACCCCCAGTCAAAGAGTTCATTGTTCTTGGAGTCAGAAAACGAGGAGAGCCCGACGCTATCGCCCGAGCCGCGGGTGACTGCTTCGATCAGGAGCGCAGGGCCGGAGGGGGTTGCCGGGCCCGCGGCGTGTTGACCCTCAGAGATAATCTGCCAAATCGCTGTGGGTCCGTCGGCTTGGCGACGCGGTTATGAGCTGGCGGCGGCGAGCTCCGCCTGGGACAAAGATCGGCCACTTCTCCCCTCCCCTCCTTCGGTCTGCGGTCCCACCTCCTCCCTCGGCAACGAGCCGCGCCCCCTCCTCCCCGCTCCGGCAGCTCCGCAGCCCCCTCTCTTGCTGTTGGCCTCAGCTGCCACCCTCGACCAGAGTGTTTACTTTGCACTTCTCGCTAATTGCACGTTTCTGTAAATTGGTCTCCATTTCGATGCTTCATTTGCTCCCATTTACTGTTTTTGCTCGGCCCTGCGGAAAGAAGAGGCGCTCAGCAGAAAGCAAACCTACTCACCACGCAGGAGGGCAAAGCCCGGGAACCGGGGTGCTGAGGGGCACGTTCTCACCCTCACAGCGGCTATCCTGTGGCTTGCTACCTAAAGAGGTGACCCAGGAAGCAAGATCAGACATCCAGTTAGAGTTATTATTCGGTGGGACAAAGCTCATTATATTGGGTTGGCTAATTATGACCTGCATGCATATAGCAAAACCTCAGCCCCCGGAGCCCTCGCTACGCCAGGCCCCGGGCTGGTTTCTCCTTGCCTGCGGCTCCCGGTACCATAAAACCGCCAGGCCCATTACAGGTGAAATGCGTTTCCGCTCCGCAGCCCCGCTGACGCCCGCGCCCCTTTCACCTCCCACTGGCCCGGAGCGTCCCAGAGCCATTAGCCGAGCGCCTGCCTTCCCGAGCCATTTGACAGCAGCTCTTATGGATAAATAAACAAGAAAGGCTGTAAACCAATTACAGTGTGGACAGTGAAAAAGTCGTTTATTAGTAGAACGCCCTGATAGCCCTCGCTGATGTTGGAAGTCCTCCTCTACCCTCTACCCTCTTTGAGTCCTGACCGCGTGCGGTTCCGCCCTGGACAACACCCGTCACCTTGTTCTCTCTTCCTCTGCGGCTCCTTAGAATTTTTAAGCCATCCTATCCCATGATAAAGGAAAAAACAAACAAAAAACCACCAGACGAACCTTAACTCTAAGGATATGTTCATAAGGAATTTATTAGATCATATTTGTGTTTATAATTAATCTGCTGTTAAAATACAAATTAGATTATATACCGAATTGAAACACTAAAGCGATGTGATGTATGTAATGCAAATATTACCATAATTTCCCTCGAATTTTGGCAGTTAGCCTCTCCTTCAGGGGGCACTTAGCGGCCGCCTTTATTCCCCAGGGCCAACGAGTCATTCCTCCTCCCGCTGTGGGATTTCCTCAGGAGTCTGGGACAAACCTGTCTCATACAGGAAAAAGGACTTACTATTAATGGCTCTCCACTGGCTTTAGGGAAAAACAACCCAGCAAAAATAAGTGGAAATCAGTTTCCAGAAAACTCAGCCACCTTCATTCCCCCACCCCCATCCCCAGTTGTGTAGATAAATGCAGCCTAAAAATCTAATTGACGTGGCACTTGCCTTGCTGTGTGCCTCACTGGCTTTCTTTGTCCAGAGCTCAGCGCAGACGGGAGGCTCCCGTGCCCCAGGGCTGTGTGCTGTTTATGCTTCACTCCCAGACTCCCAGCCCTTTTGTCTTTTTGTTTGTTTGTTCCATCCTCTGAGGCTCCCAGTTTACTTTGCAGCTGAAAGGAAAGTGTGAAAGGAAGTAAAGACTCCAAATGGTCTAAAAAGCCTCCAGCTTATCCTTCTCTGGAATCACTATGGCCCATCCTGTCCCTTCTGGACCCATCCCTTCTACCTGCTCTTACCCAGGCTCATATCTGAGCTCCACCATCCAGATACGCAGTCTCCAGAGACCCCAGCCTTTATCGTTGCCCTCCTAGTCTTAGTCCTGGATAAACTCCGAGCTTCCATCCAACTTCCCTTCTTTGCTTTCCACCCTCCTCCCATCACCATTTCCTGTGACTAATCCTTTTCCAGGGAACCATTTCTTACCTTCAGGTTCCTGCCCTGACACACACTTCACAGTCACTCTAGCTGCCTTCCTAAACCATCCCGCCTTTCACAAGGTTTATTAGTTGAAGGACGAATATTTTCTTTCCTTCTTTAAAAAAATATATATTTTATTGATTTTTTGCAGAGAGGAAGGGAGAGAGATAGAGAGCTAGAAACGTCGATGAGAGAGAAACATCGACCAGCTGCCTCCTGCTGGGGATGTGCCCGCAACCAATGTACATGCCCTTGACCAGAATTGAACCTGGGACCTTTCAGTCCGCAGACCGACACTTGGCTTGAAGGACGAATATTTTCAATAAAATATTTTATTTATTTATTTATTTATTTATTTTAGAGAGAGGAGGGGAGCGGAAAAGAGAAACATCCATGTGAGAGTAATCTGCTGCCTCTTGCACACCCCTATCTTGAGATCCAGTCAGCAACCTGTGCATGTGCCCTGACTGGGAATTCAAAGGGCAAGGGATGATGCCCAGCTAACTGAGCCACACCAGCCAGGACTTCGATGCTATTTCTGATGAAACACTTACACAGCCCTTCCTGTGTGACTATCTGCAACCCCTTTGAGGGACAGAAACCCAATAGTAAAAATATGTTTGGCTTTGGTGGGTGATGGAAAGCTCTTGGGAACTATATTTAGCCCTCTTCCAAATCTCTCTCTGTCCTGCACAAGCTGTGTGTCTCCTGACAGTTATATCAGTCCACTGAGCTTCTCTGTCCTTATTTGTAAAGTGGACACAATAAACTGCCCATACGGTAGATCCACTGCATACAGTAATAATAGTACACACATGGAACCAGGCTTTGTTTCAAGCACTTTACATGTGTTAATCCTCATTAAAATGCTGTGAGGTAGATACTCTTATTTCCACTTTGCTGTGGAAGAAGTAGGCATAGAAATGTAATTTGTCCAGAATCGCACAGCTAACAAATGGAAGAGCCTAGATCCCAGCTGAGGTCTTAGGATTCATTTTCTTGAATGTGAGACTATACTATCTTTGTAGTAGGTAGTCAAGACATTTAAAAATTTTGTTTTGGTGAGAATTCAGTGAGGTAAAATGTCTCATGTTCCTGGCACTTCGTAGGCACTCAGTAAACGGCCATCTCTTCCCTTCTCCCATAGCATTACTTTCAATGCATCTATAAGCTTTAGTAATTGTTGGTCGTCCTTACATACAAGAGCACTGGGTTGCTATATCCTATGTTTTAGGGGAATATGCCCCAAAGTGTTTAAAGAGGTAGGGGCTGGGAGAGCTGGATGGCATCTTCCAAGCCAGCCCTCCAC